CAGTTGTGAAGAGAGTGGAGAGTTTCCCATACCTGGGTAGTGTGCTCATGACTGGCTCCGGTTTAACAGCAGAGGTCTCACTCCGAATCAGTCGAGCAGCAATATCTTTTCATCGGTTGCGTAACGCTGTGTGGAAGCTACCTGGTTTGTCGCTGCGCACTAAGCTTCAGGTCTTCTCGGCCACGGTCATTCCCTCCCTTCTCTACGCTTGCGAAACGTGGACCCCCCTAATGGAACATCTTCGCCGGTTAGAAACATTTAGGCTGGCCTGCCTACGATCCATCCTGGGTTTAACCAGACTGGATTGTGTGAGGAGCTCACAAATCCTTGAAAGATCTGGGCAAGGTCCAATCGGTGAGCTCCTCCGGTGGGGAAGGCCGCGATGGCTGGGTCATGTAGCCCGCATGCCCAGCCACCGCATGCCGAAACAGCTTTTGTTCGGCCGGATTGAGGGGGCTAAGCGGGCGTGGCACGGGCTAGAGAAGAGATGGAGTGATGTGGTACAAGAGGCACGGGGCTAGAGAAGAGATGGAGTGATGTGGTACAGGAGGACGTGGAGCTGAGTGGACTTGCCAATGACTGGTACCAGCGGTGTCAAGATCGGCCTCTGTGGAGGAGGCTCGTGAAGGATGCTACTGGGCAGTTGGAGGCAGTCGCCCTCCAACAACAACGGAGGGCGGAGGAGCAACGCTCACAACAACGAGCGGAGCGCCGGGTGGCTAAAGCACAGCAGGTTGCCACAGTAGGGGGCACAGGTGGTGCATCAGCCAGTCATCTCAGTCATCTCAGTCAGTCGACCCGTGGCACCTGGGTCTGCCCCGTGACCTCCTGCCAGCGGGCGTTCGACACTTCCACGTGGCCTCAGGGTGCACATAGCCTGGCACAAGCGTCGTGGTGACGTCACCGCCACTTAGTGGCGAATGGCGGTTGTTGTTGTGAGTGTGTGAGTGTGAGTGAGTGAGTGTGAGTGTCACAATATTAGTTGCGTAAGCGCCCCGACTACCACGTGGTACCCCACCCCCCCCCCCACCCCCCCCCCACCCCCCCCCCACCCCCCCCCCACCCCTCCCCCACCCCCCCCCCACCCCCCCCCATGGCGTCGCACCGATCACGGTGACGCTGGCCGTGCTGCCTTGTGCCGGCAGGCTGCGCCGTAGGCGGTAGGCCCCCACGTGCACCTCCTTGAGGCCCAGCGCCAGCCACGACCGGCGGACACGCTCGGCCAGTGCCGCCGAGGTCGCGGGGGTCGCGGGGGTCGCGGGGGTCGCGGGGGTCGCGGGGGTCGCCGGCCTGCCGCCGCTGAAGTACCTGGGGGGGCCAGGGGCGGGGACGGGAGATTGGTCGTCATGACGACGGCGGTCGTCGTGACGACGGCGGTCGTCGTGACGACGGCGGTCGTCGTGACGACGGCGGTCGTCGTGACGACGGCGGTCGTCGTGACGACGGCGGTCGTCGTGACGACGGCGGTCGTCGTGACGACGGTGGTCGTTGTCGCCGTCACCACGATCGTCATCATCGTCGTCGTCGTCATCGTTGTCGCCGTCGCCATCGTCATCACGATCACCGTCGTCGTCGTCATCATCGCCACGATCACCATCGTCGTCGTCATCGTTGTCATCATCGTCATCGTCGTCGTCGTCGTCGTCACGATCACCGTCGTCATCGGCGGCTGTCACCGTCACCATCGTTGTCGTCATCGTCGTCACGATCACCGTCGTCATCGCCGCCGTCACCACCGCCATCGTCATCGCGATCACCGCCATCGTCATCGCCAATATCACAAAACGTCACCGTTATCACCGTCAGCGCCACCACCGCCGCCATTACCGGCACCACCGCCGCCACAACCACCACCACCACCACCGCCACCACCACCACCACCACCACCGCCACCACCGCCACCACCACCACCACCACCGCCACCACCACCACCACCACCACCACCGCCACCACCGCCACCACCACCACCACCACCACCACCGCCACCACTCTCAACACCACCATCACCACCGCCCACCGCTGCTGCCGCCACTGCCGCCACCACCACCTGAACATCTCCACCACCGCCTCCTCCGTGATGTTGTCCACCATCCCGCGGTGAAGTCTCCTCCTCCGCTCCTCCTCCTCCTCCCCGTCGCCGCTGCCGTCGTCCCAGCTCCTCCTCCTGGGCGTCGCCGCAGCCGCCGCCGGGGGCGTCGCCGCAGCCGCCGGGGGCGTCGCCGCAGCCGCCGGGGGCGTCGCCCCCCCAGCGCCGCAGCCACCCGCCGGCCCCGCCCCCCTCGCCGCGTAGCCAATCAGGAACCCCGACACCAGCACGGCGACGCCCGCCGACAGCGAGGCGGCCAACCGGCGGCGAGCCGCGGCGGGCGGGGGCCGGCCCCCCTCCGGGGGGCGCCGTTGCTTGGGGGGGGCGAGGGGGGGCCGGGAGACGCCCCTCCCCTCCCCCGCGACGATGACGTCATCGTCGTCGTCATCGTCGTCGTCGTCGTCAGGATGAAGGCGTTGGAATCGGCCGCGTGGAGACATCGAGTAGCCTTCAAAGGGGAGCTCCTCCTCCATGGAGTTGGAGAAGCCTGGGGGGAGGGGAGGGAGGGAGGGGGGAGAGGGGGAAGGAGGGATGGGGGAGAGAGGAGGGGGGCAGGGAGGGAAAGAGGAGGGAGGGAGCGGGGGGGGGAAGGGAAAGAGGGAGACAGGGAGGGAGAGAGGAGGGATGGGGGAGAGAGGAGGGTGTGAGAGGGGGGGGGAGAGGGGGAGGGAGACAGGCAGACAGGGAGGGAGAGAGGAGGGGGGAGGGAGGGATGGGGGAGAGAGGAGGGGGGGAGGGAGGGAAAGAAGAGGGAGGGAGAGGGGGGGGAGGGAGACAGGGAGACAGGGAGGGAGAGAGGAGGGGGGAGGGAGGGATGGGGGAGAGAGGAGGGGGGGGAGGGGGGAAGGAGGGATGGGAGGGAGGGAGAGAGGAGGGGTGAGAGGGAGGGAGGGAGAGAGGATGGGAGGGAGAGAGGGAGCGAATGAACGTGAAGGCCTAAGCGGGTTAGCCACATTATGAGACCTCCTTTGCCAGAAACAAGATATAGGAATAGATATAGGGAATAGGTTTTACCCTTTTTGAGTTGTACGCCTTTTGGCGTCTTCTGGCCCAACACCAATGGAGACTAAAGGGCTCTAAGAAAAGCCGTCTCGGGTGTGGACCAATCAAGTTCAAGAACAGTGCCAATATTATTATCAGAGTTGTCTATTTTGTTTGCATTTTGACTGCTTGTGTTGTGGTTATTGCAAACATGATGCCTTGAATAAAGGTGTCAGTTTTTGTGCCAGTTAAAAGGGTAAAACCTATTCCTATAACGGGTTAGCCACGTGGCATGCTGACGTCGTCGCCGGCCAGAGGCGCCCCCCCCCGTGACGGAATGTCACCGGCACCGCGGGGGCCTGGGGCCTGGGGCCTGGGGCCTAGGGCCTGGGGGCCTGGGGCCTAGGGCCTGGGGCCTGGGGGCCTGGGGCCTGGGGGTCTGGGGCCTGGGGGCCTGGGGCCTGGGGCCTGGGGCCTGGAGCCTGGGGCCTGGGGGCCTGGGGGCTGGGGCCTGGGGGCCTGGGGGCCTGGGGCCTGGGGGCCTGAGGGCCTGGGGCCTGGGGCCTGGGGCCTGGGGGCCTGGGGCTGGGGGCCTGGGGGCCTGGGGCCTGGGGGCCTAGGGCCTGGGGGCCTGGGGGCCTGGGGGCCTGGGGCCTGGGGGCCTGGGGGCCTGGGGCCTGGGGGCCTGGGGGCCTGGGGGCCTGGGGGCCTGGGGGCCTGGGGGCCTGGGGGCCTGGGGGCCTGGGGCCTCGTTACCGTGCACCAAGCGCGGTGTCCGTGGCTTCCTCCCCTCGTCCCCCGGCGTGGCGTGTCGCGCCCCCCCCCGCGACAGCTCCTTCTCCAGGTCCCACTCCACCACGCTGTCCGTCCCCGCGGCTTCCTCCTCCTCCTCCTCCTCCTCCTCCTCCTCGTCGGCGGCTCGGCAGCCCCCGGCCGCGACGGGCGGAGGGCTCGGGCGCCCGGCCCAGGGGTCGGCGGACACCCCGGTGGATCCCGGGGAGGGGCCCCCCGCGGGGGGCCAGGCCCCCCCGTCCGGGTCGCTGCGACGCAGGGGCATGTCCGGGCGTGCGTCCGCTGGGGGTAGGGGTAGGGGTAGATAACAAGACCAAGTAATCAGGGTGCGGGCGTTGGTAGTAAGTGGCATGTGTTGTAGTGAGTGCGGGTGTTTGTAAGTGGCATGTGTTGGTAGTAAGTGCAGGACGTTGGTAAGTGGCATGTGTTGGTAGTAAGTGCGGGGCGTTGGTAAGTGGCATGTGTTGTAGTAAGTGCGGGTGTTTGTAAGTGGCATGTGTTGTAGTAAGTGCGGGTGTTTGTAAGTGGCATGTGTTGGTAGTAAGTGCGGGGCGTTGGTAAGTGGCATGTGTTGGTAGTAAGTGTGGGACGTTGGTAAGTGGCATGTGTTGGTAGTAAGTGCGGGACGTTGGTAAGTGGCATGTGTTGGTAGTAAGTGCGGGTGTTTGTAAGTGGCATGTGTTGGTAGTAAGTGCGGGACGTTGGTAAGTGGCATGTGTTGGTAGTAAGTGCGGGACGTTGGTAAGTGGCATGTGTTGGTAGTAAGTGCGGGACGTTGGTAAGTGGCATGTGTTGGTAGTAAGTGCGGGACGTTGGTAAGTGGCATGTGTGGTAGTAAGTGCGGGACGTTTGGTAAGTGGCATGTGTTGGTAGTAAGTCGGGACGTTGGTAAGTGGCACTGTGTTTGGTAGTGAGTGCGGGACGTTGGTAAGTGGCATGTGTTGGTAGTAAGTGCAGGACGTTGGTAAGTGGCATGTGTGGTAGTTAAGTGCGGGACGTTGGTAAGTGGCATGTGTTGGTAGTGAGTGCGGGACGTTGGTAAGTGGCATGTGTTGTAGTAAGTGCGGGTGTTTGTAAGTGGCATGTGTTGGTAGTAAGTGCGGGGCGTTTGTAAGTGGCATGTGTTGGTAGTGAGTGCGGG